TTGAGATCATCTGTACTGTTCTTTAAACCTAAGCAGAGATAAACATTCATCTGTGATATACATAATTTAAAAATTACATATCCTCAATTAGCACATTCAGCACTTTGGGAATATTTTAAAAATCATACCTTTTTACAAGAAAATTACCCTTTAACAGTTAATAAACATCATAAGCTGAAGGCCCAGTATGTGTTTCAAAATCTGTGCTAGCTCTACATTAAAGCATCCAGTTTACGCTATTTACAATTCTTCTTTAAAATAATGTTGGTAAAAAGCATAATAATAAACAATAAAGCATTTTGTTTTCCCTCTTCAAATTAGCTACCAAAAAATGGAAAAGAACTGTATACATACTTTTTTTTTCTTGTACACATACTTTAATATAGTAAAAAGGAAAATGAAAAATTTAAATATATGAACAAGAAGTGTAGTTTAATATCCAGCAGGACTGTCCTTTCTGCAGTTTTCTATCATTTCTTCTGGGCTATATAAGATTTCCAGCATCTCAAGAACACACTGTGCCATAAGTAGAGCCATAGAGACATGCATATTTTTAGTGGAAATAGGTTATGAATGAAAGCCAAGCCTTTACATTAAAGCTAATATATGAGGCTTTTGTAAAGGCATTGGTCTTATTGGGAAGAGGTTGAATGGGCTGATTGTTCTGAGCATATGCTTTTAACTACTCCTGAAGAAATGATTCATGGTGCATCCTTTAACTACTCCTGAAGAAATGATTCAGGGTGCATCTTTTAACTACTGAAGAAATGATTCAGGGTGCATACACTTTGGTGATGGGTAAATAACATCTTCATACGTGAAAGACAGCATATTAGGAATGTGACACATAACTAATAGCAGCTAGCATCAACACTTCCAATATTTCAGGCAATGTGATAAGCACTTTATTGTTTTACTCCTCAGGATTATTTATTAATCCTCACAGTAGCGCACTGGGGTAGGGACTATTACCATAATTTTGTAGAGGAGGAAATTGAGGTTTAATGGCCAAAATCTCATGACTAAGGGACACTTATCCATACAACCTCTACTTTTTCTAAACTCTAGAAGAGGAAAAAAGCCTAAGAGTCAAAATAGTTAAAATAAGACCCTAAAGCTGGGGTCTGTACTATTATACTCTTCATGTAGGGGCTTTTTTCTTCAACATTATTTTTTAGAAACACTGATTCTTTGACTTCCCTTAGCAAATAGCTTGGGAGGCGAGCTGTATGCACTGAAGTAAGTGTTTAGTTATTTAGTCATTCAGATAGTCTAGACTTGGAGCCTGCTATGCACCAGGTGCCGTATTAGGCACTGCAGATACAATGGTGAGCAAACCCTGGACTAGGTACAGACCCCCATGGTGCTTATAATCTAGTACAGGGACAAATCTCACAAATAAATGTACAATTCCAAGTGTGGTACTGTAATATGAAGATGTCCCAGGTGCTTTGAAAGCATATTATAGGTGAACCTAAACCTGGTCAGTGAGATGTAAGCCAATGGATTATAAGAGCAGACATTTTAGGCAGAGAGGAAGTAGTTAAACTAATGCTGATTTAGCATAATAATGGATGCTTATAATGATGAGCTTAAATCATAAAGGAAAGGTGAAATTTATTCAATGTTCCATGTTTAAGAAAAAAGAAAAGTATTTAATATGCTTGGGAAGGTGTAAAAACATTGGACATTTGAAGAAATGAGCATTAGTTCTGTGTAATTTCACTACATGAATAGGTTATTTTGGTGTTAACTGTAACAGTGTATCCTCACTGTCATTTTGTATGAAATAGGAAAGTAAAACTAAAAGGACCATTACTTGTGTTTTTATACTAGCCTTTTCTAATACCAGATACCTAATTATGCTCTTGAACAATAACCTAATTACAAGATACTATATAAATAGAGGAATTGCTAAGAATTAACTGCATTATAAAAAGAGCATGTCAGTACAATATTTACTGACTGTACTGTTACTCCAAGAACTGTGTTAGAATGAGTAGTCAAAGGTGAATAATAAAAAATTGGGGGGGTGGGGGGAGGGAATAAAAAAGCGAAAAAGAAAAAAAGATGAATAGTTATAGTCCTTGCCCTGCAGAAACCCACAACATAGGAGTAATTCTATCACATATTTTCTTGAGTGTTGAGTATTATAAATCACATATAAGTTAAGTAGTACCACCACCATCTCAGTGTGACTTGGTGATAATTTGACATTCATGATGTTTCTGTTAACCTTCATTTTTTTTTTTCATCTTTCCAAAATCATGCATTCTCTCTACTTGTTATGGTTTTTAATGGGGCTTGGATTAAAATACTTCTTTGATATTGTAACACATAAATATTTTATTTTCCAACTTATATTGTATCAAATAATTATTCTTAAATATCAAGAATAATGAATAAAATAAATTTTGACTTGAAAATTACCAGGAGATTCCTAATTTATTGAGTGGAAGGAAATTTATTCAGATTGAAGAGAAAGATTCTTTCATATGATTCATAAGTCCCCAGGATATTTAGTTACTTCATTTTAAGTGGCTTAATTGCAAAATGAACAGAATGGATTTTGTTGTTTTCAAACTTTTAAAAATTATTTTTAACAAAGCCTTTTGAAAAACATATAATCTACATTCTTCCAATTGATAAAAGCAGAGTTGCTCTAATTGAAGGTGCTTCTGGCTAATAAGCTGTGTCTTTAAGAATAGCTTGAAAACCATATTTTTAAGTGACAAAGAAGAGGTACAGGGAAGGACAGACTGTCCTATAGTTTGATTTGACTGAAGCTGTATGCTTAACTAGTATATAGTGTCCAAAGAAAGATACCTATTAGAAAAGAATATTTTATGTGTGTGTGTTCGCAACAATATGTAATGATGCTTTCACGTATGTTCAGTTAGGCCCTCTTTGTTTATGTGACCTTCATTTAGATAACAATTTAGAAGAAAATTAATACTACATCCTGTTCCTCAGTACCACGATGCTAAAATTATCCAAATAATCATACTTCACACCCCCTCAAACCCAAGTGCCCTGAATGGCATTGTACTTACAAAACCGGTAGTGAGGTGCAATAATGACTAATATAAATGACCATGAGGAACTTCTATGGGTAGTAGAAATTCAGTTCAGAGTACCTACTCTTGCCGACTGCTCGGGACCGCGCCCAGTGAGGCCCAAAGGCCAGCAGTTGGGCCAGCCGCGGCGCCCACTGGGGAAGACAAGAAATTTGCCTTAGACAGCTGTTGAGAATGGAGCTGGAGGAGGCTTATTTGTGCACAGAGATACTCCTGAGAATAACCAAGCAACTCCATTTGATTTCACACCAGAAAACTGTAAGAGGATAGAGGCCATTTTGAAAAACTTCCCAAAAGGGCATAAGGCAGCAGCTGTGCTTCCAGTTCTGATTTAGCCCAGAGACAGAATGGATGGCTGCCCATCTCTGCTATGAACAAGGTTGCAGAAATTTTACAAGCACCTCCAATGAGAGTGTATGAAGTAGCAACTTTTTATATAATGTATAATTGAAAGCCAGTTATATCACATTCAAGTCTTCTCTACTACTCCTTGCATGCTCCGAAACTCCAACAGGATACTGGAGGCCATTCAGAAAAAACTTGGAATAAAGGTTGGAGACTACACCTGACAAACTTTTCACTCTTATGTAAGTGGAATGTTTAGGGGCCTGTGTAAATGCACCAATGGTTCAAATAAATGACTACTATGAGGATCTGACACCTAAGGATATTGAAGAAATTATTGATGAACTCAAGGCTGGCAAAATCCCAAAACCTGGGCCAAGGAGTGGACGCTTCTCCTGTGAGCCAGCTGGAGGTCTTACCTCTTTGAACCACCTAAAGGACCTGGGTTTGGTGTGCAAGCAGGCCTTTAATTTATATTCAACTGTAAATATGTCAGTGGAGAAATAAAATATGAATCTATCTACCTAAATTTTTTTTTTGCAGTGTTAAGTATTTTTTTTCCATTTATTTTTATTAGTTGGAGGCTAATTACTTTACATCATTGCAGTGGTTTTTGTCATACATTGAAATGAATTAGCCATGGATTTACATGTATTCCCCATCCCTAAATTTTTTATATTACTTGTTCATTTCCATCTGTGTACACCTTGCTTGTAACCTAGCAACTTAGAGCTGTTAAGTATCATGTCAGAACTTCAGAGCACCATTTTCAACTGCCTGTTCACTTTCATCAATATTAGGGTGCTGTGAAATAAAAATTCTGTCAAATTAAAAAAAAAAAAAGTACCTACTCTTGCACTGTACAAGACCATGAGGATCTGAAGCTGAGCCTGATTTCAAAGACTTGGATTTTGATAGTGGACAGGCTGGTACACACACCAAGTCTAAGGAAGAAGTTAGCCTGTATTATCATCCATGTCGGGCACAGTGGAGTTCTGACCTAACTGAATGGTCTCTTATAAAGAAATTACTGCCTGACTTCCTGTGAAATGAGATCTCTGCACTTTGCCCTTGTGAATATAATACGAAGCTTAAAAACGAAAAACAACCTGATAACCAGAGAGACCCTGGGCATCGCCTAATGCAAGCCTTTCCTCTCGGAGTTGGAAAAACAAGCCCGAGCCAGCCGTGCACTTGCCTGCAATTATCAGAAAGGTAAGTCAGTGGCAGAACAGTTTTCTGACTCCCGTCCAGTCTTCCCACTTGACGCATCAGTCATTAAAGCTCACCGGAAAGGCAATCCTACTTCTTACCCTCCCTGCACCTGCTCTTTTAGTGTGAGGGCAACTGTGAAAGAGCTGCCAATCTTATTATCCCGGCTCAGCAACTCCACCCTCGGAACGGGTTTCCCCGGACCTGACCTAGGCCGTCAACCCCTAACCACGGTCGACCTCGGAAGTGACGTAAGGGAAGCGGAAGCGCTGGCGTGGAGGCAGACTTCCTGTTGCTAGAGGCGGGGGGGTGGGGGGCTGGCTCGTCTGTGTGCGGTTGTGTGGGGTGGCCTCGGGCGGCCCCGGAGCGGCTGACCCTCTGCCAGCTGGGACCGGAGTCGCGAGGCGGCGGCCATGGCGGGGTCGGAGAGCCAGCTCAAGAAAATGGTGTCCAAGGTGAGGCTGCGGCGCGCTGTCCTCTCGGCGCACACCCACCACTCCCCCCGCGCCGCCAGGGCCTGCCCGACCAGCCCAACGAGCCCCCCAGGCCGGCCCGAAGTCCCGGGCCTCCCCTTGGCCACCTCTGCTGCCGCCCGCGCCAGGATGCCTGTCGCCCGGGGCCGGAGTCCCCGGGCCGGGGCCGGCGGGGGGCGGCGACGGTCAACAATGGAGCGGAGCCGAGGCCGCCTGCTGCCTGCCACCTGCCGCCTGCCCTCCTCTTTTCGGGGAGAGAGAGTTTGGAGCAGTCTGTGGGGCAGCATAGTTTTTATCAACAGGAGGGGGTTGTACTTAAAACTCGGTCTTGGGCACCCCTTCCTTCATGTCCCAATGCAGGGCTCTTCATTCTTATTCGCCCTTCCCTCCCGGCTTCCTGAGGTGGTGTCCTTTTCAGTTTGTATTCTTCACGCAGCTCAATAGCCCACCCCGCGGTTGGTTGAATTGGCTCAATTATAAATGGAAACGTCCTGAGAAGCTCATTACCTCGGGTGAAATAGAATTCCATTGCCATTCCAGGGTCTTTGATTTGCTCAGAGTGACTCCCTTTTAATTTTATGTTGCTTATAAAGCCAGTTTATTTACTTTGAAATTTTTAATCTAAACATTTTAAGACTGGTGTGGCTTTGTTTTTTGGTTTTTTCCCTTTTTTAAAAAAGCCTGTAGGCATTTTGTATTTAAAGCTGTGAATTAGTTTAACAACTAAAAATATGGCACCTGATACCAGAGTGAATTGGGTGCTTTTTGGTTTGTTGCTTTGTCTTTTTTTTCAATTTATCAAAGCTAATTAATGGGAATAAGATGTATGTGAAATGGTTGAGAGTTGAATATTCTCCAGTTAAACAGGTTTAGCTTTAGATACTTTTGTCAAAATAAGAGTGGTAGAAAGTGAAATAGTTTAAAACAACTTTCAGTATTATTAAAACACATTATTATGTGTAAACTTATTTCTCTGAAAATATACTTTTTCACCCAGTATAATCATCCCTATAGTCTTTGATTGAAGAGCAAATAATCTCTAAGGAGAAATTGATGGTTTTTGAAATAAAGCTACTCTTTGATTTTTCTAATCATATCTTCTAGGCTTCTGATTTTCTTTCTTTTTTTCTAATTAAAATATAGTTGATTTTCACTTGATAGAGTAAACGTATCTTTAATTGCAGAGGAAGTTTTAGGGAGCCTTAGAAAACTGTGGCCTGGATCTATGTTGCAGCATTTAATTTTTCGAAGTATGTTATTTTATATACTATGTAACTGAAGGGTGTCTGTTCCATACCATTTTAAAACTTAATTGATTACATTGCCCTTCAAGTTTATTCCTTCATGTATGTGTATCAAAGTACCTATATAAGGACAAGAGTATTCAAATATTGGTTTGGAATTTTAGAAACCGTAATTAAGTTTCCTAAACTTTCTCTTGAGGAACCTGCCTTCGAAGACAGAGGCAAGACATCTTTAGAAGATATTCTATACCTACACCTGCCGTCTCCTCCCTCCATCTTTATATCCTCAGAGCAAAAAAGGACATAGTTTGGTGGAAGCCAGCACAATACTGTAAAGCAGTTATCCTTCAATTAAAAATAAGTAATTTTTTATAAGAAAGGACATAGAGCAGAGGTGGGAGAGAACATTTGTCTCTCATCTGGTTCTTGACCCAATACCTGAAAAACTGAGTCTCTTACAAGTGGTGATGTCACTTCTTTTTACTGGCATTTTTTCTGTCCAGCTTGTTCATAGATAGATATGTAGATATGTAGGAGTAGTAAGTAGGATAATAGAAGCTCTTTGTGGAGTTTTTTCCTTCTGGTGGAGGATTAGCTTCAGTTGTTATCCTTTCAGTTGGATGTGGCCCAATGAAGGAATTGGTCGCCACGACCTGGGACACATTGCTAGGGTGATGGTCCTTTTCTCTTATCTGATTGTGGGACTTCATCACCCATCATATTACTTTGGGCTACCTGCTTTGACTTACATATTTTTTGAAGTATAATTGACATACAACATTATATTATCTTTTTATATATTACTACCGTTATTTTTTTCCTTGGAGCAACTTTTAGCTTCCAACTTAAATATAGCTTTTAGTTTAACATCCTCCTCTGTCATCATCTTTGTAATTAAGAGCGGTATATCTATACTGTTGGTCCATCTTGCTTTACACAAATTATTTAGATTTTTCATACAGACAACTATCTGTATTCTTTCATGCTGTATGTAACAGCATTCCTGTCGGTAGAGTCACTACCAACTAGTTAGGAGAGAGCTGATACATTAACGATTGTAATGCACTTCACATTGTTTTATTAGATTCTAGGGATACAATAGTGAACAGATAGAAAACTCTATACCTGTGGAACTTAAATTCTCATAGAAGGAATGAACAACTCAGTAAGTTCATTAAGTAACATGTTGGAGGATGTTAAGTGCTTTGAAGAAAAGTAAAGCAAGAAAGGGCGATAGTTCTCAAATGTGAGGATAAGATAGGTTGCAGTTTTATAGACAGTAAAGGAAGGCCTTCCTGAGGTCTGTTTGATCAGAGACCCAGAAAGCAGTGAGGAAGCAAACTGGAGCAGTCTGGAGTAAGAACATTCCAGGAAGAAGGAAAAACAAGCTCAAGGGCCCTCTCGTCATGCATGATAGAGAAACAGCAAAGGAACCTAAAAGGGCTGGACTGGAGTGAGGAAAGGGAAACAGTGCTGCTAAATAAAGGAGTGGTAGATTTTGGAGGGTCTTGCAGGCCGCCGTCAGCGTTTTGGCATGTCCTTGCAGTGTGGTGGGGCTGTTTTAACAGTATAACTCAAGCTGCTGTACTGAGGCTAGACCATAGGGGGTTCAGTAGAGTGGAGGGATAGCCATCTCTAAAAAGGCTGTTGTATAATAATAACCTAAGTGTGGCAATGAAGGTAGTGAGAAGTGATCAGATGCTGGAGATTTTTGAAAGGTAGATTTTGAAGGTAGAACTAAGAATTTTCTGACAGACTAACTCACTGTGGATGTGTAGGAAACCAAAGCATCCAGGATAATGTCGAAGTTTTTTTGCTGAGCATCTAGAAGGATATGTATGTGGAAGAATGTAAGAGTTGTAGATGGAGAAGGCTATGGCATCCCACTCCAGTACTCTTGCCTGGAAAATCCCATGGACGGAGGAGCCTGTTAGGCTGCAGTCCCTGGGTTCTTGAAGAGTCGGATACGACTGAGTGACTTCACTTTCACTTTTCACTTTCATGCATTGGAGAAGGAAATGGCAACCCACTCCAGTGTTCTTGCCTGGAGAATCCCAGGGATGGGGGAGCCTGGNTGGAGACTTTGTTTTTGGGATAGCTGACTGTTCTTTTTAAGAGAGAAGCACTAAAAGCTGATAGAAAGCTTTGTGTGCATGAGTGGAGCTTCAGGGTGTTGTGAACACATGGGGATTTCCATTTCCTGGTTTCCTAGTTTGCTCAGAGCTGAAAGCAAGGTTCCTAGGTTTCCTGGACTTGAGTGGTACAAGGCAGGGGTATGAGAATATAATACAGCACATGATAAATTGTGAAAGAGTTGGTATTGACAGTAAATGCTGGAGCGGGAGCGATCCATATGGGCTAAAGGGAAGTCTGGAAAAGAATTCATTGATAGGGAAAGAGATGTGAGGTAGGTCTTTGACAATGAGATTTGATTTGGTGGAGACCATATTTTAAATTGGGAAAAGAGCTAAAATGAAGGTAAAGGTTTGAAGAGGTGACAGAGAAAGCTACTGAGATTCTTTTAGTCTTTCTTTAATTGTTATTGATTAGTCAGAACCATTATACTTTAAAGGAAAGTGCTGTTAAGAAAACAGTTTTAAAAAAATTAAACTAGCAGTATAATTTGTGTATTGGTTTTAAACTAAATTTTTTATTTTCCTTTTCAGTACAAATACAGAGACCTAACTGTACGTGAAACTGTTAACGTTATTACTTTATACAAAGATCTCAAACCTGTATTGGATTCATATGGTGAGTTTATGTATAAAAATATCAAGTCAGATTTTACTCTTTTTGTTAATAATTGTAGGTTTTCTGTTTTCCTTTTAAGTCTGTTGGTTTTTCCCATTATAGGACTGAGCCTTCACCTAAAAATGGTGTTGGGGGCATAGGCAATTACAAGATTTAATAACATCTTATATTTGTTTAGTAATTTTAAGTTTTAAAATACTATAACAAAAACAGTGCTAATTTAGACCAAATGTTACAGATAGTTTAGTCCATCATTTCCAGAAATAGTATCAGTAGTTGTGAAGAATGTTGCTTTGTGGGTGGGGAGATGGAGGGGATTCTGTGGTTAAGTTTGAATACTTACAGGTTAAACAAAATTAAATGACTTTCTTTGAAGCAAGATTTCTCAGAACCTGTAATATGTTTATGTATTTTGTCTCACCAAGAGGGGAGAGAAGATAATACATTGTTCAGTATATTCTAGAGTTAATTAGTGAACCGTTTTTTTCTCTCTAGAGCATCTCTTTATATTCTTAGGAACACATTTTGTAAAATTATATTCTAGACTATTCTTTTCATTTTATAGATGAAGAAAACACTTAAAAACTGTTGTCCTTAATTCTGTAGTGTGTGTTAGGTGACGGTTTGTGTCCACCCTCTATTGAGATGAAGTTGTGATTTAAGTTAGAAATGACAATGAAAACACTTTCTCCAGGTGTTTTTTAATAGTCTTTTTGGCCCCACCAATCCTAACATCATCTCTCCTACCCTGTCTCCTTGGGGACAATGTGCCAGGGCTAAGGGAAACCATGCTGCCGTGTGCCTGTTGTGAGGCCCCTGCAGTGAGTGCAAAGAGCCGAAATTTGTAGCTGAGACTCTCGCTCTGAACTCCACTCACCCCAAGGGCTTTGTAAACAGGAGCCTGGTGGAGAGGTGGGAGGCAGCAGAGGGGGAATCAGTCCTGAATTTCCTGAACAACAGTCATGAACCAGAAGTCCTCTCCCACATTAGGAAACAGTTCTCCCTCCTGTCCACATACTGCACTGTGGTATTTAGATCTGCAAGAAAACTCATCTTTCCAAAGTTAGAGTTACTTTTAAAATGGCTTCTCTGGGGGAATTAAGTGACTAAGGCTAGAAAGTTATGATAAGTGTGTAGTTTTTATTGAATACTGAAAGAAGAAATGATCAAAATTGACAAAGACTGCAGCCTCATTGAACATATCTTATATAGCTTTGTGTGACTGGACCAAGTCTAAACCACTGTCATCAACATGCTTTTAGAGTAAATATAAACCTAGAATTTAGTGTAGTCTTTTTAAAACACAAAATCAGAGTAAATTACATCACAGGCTGTAAGTGTCAATAGTAGATAAAGGAACTGAGGTCAACAGTATAGTTCTGTATTCTTGTACTGTATATTATAGCCTTTTCCCATATAGTACAGTGTTAATTCCAAATTGTTGCAAATAATAGCTATTCATGGAATACAGATTATGTGCCCTAGTTATTCAGTCAATTACAGATAGGAAAACTTGTGTGATGTGAGAAATACTTGTATTAAAAGAAGATGTCCATATTTCTTAAAATCTTTTTTCCTTTTTATTACTGTGGGATGCTACATTGAGATTGAAAATGACAGTGAGTGGGAGTGAACATCTGAGAAATCTAAAATTTAATGCTATTAGGTTAATATTTGTGGAAGTGAAAGCATCAGTTGCTCAGTCGTGTCCCACTCTGCAACCCCATGGACTGTAGTCCACCAGGCTCCTCTGTCCATGGAATTCTCCAGGCAAGAATACTGAAATGGGTAGCCATTCCCTTTTCCAGGCAATCTTCCTGACCCAGGGATTGAATCCAGGTCTCCTGCATTGCAGGTAGATTCTTTATCATCTGAGCCAGCAGGGCAGCAATTAATAGTGATTTTTAAGTAATCTTATAATCATGTTGGTTGAAGACCCAGAGCTCTTATTTATTGATACTATAGCATTCACATATATTTTCCTAAGTAATTCATAGTGTCTTTACTCATTCAAAAGCTGATCCCATTAAGTAAATTAACAAAGGATAATTTGTAATTGGACAGAATGTTTGAACATTAGCAAGTTTGTCCCTTTAAAGAGTAATAGTGCATTGTAGCCATTGTTTCTGAAAGAATAACTTATATAAGAGTATCTGTCAAAATGCTTATTGATTAACTCAATATTCTCACCTTTCAGTTTTTAATGATGGCAGTTCCAGGGAACTAATGAACCTTACTGGAACAATTCCTGTGCCTTATAGAGGTAAATGTCTTATGTGATTTATTTTTCATAGATGCATTTTAATTCATACTTAGTTGCCAAAGAATTGTAAGTAAATTAAGCTTGCTTTCTCATGACTTTCATGATAATATAGAAATTTTAACTTCTAATTGAAGTTCATTTGGCAGCAGCACCTAATATTTTCAGCTTCCTTACAAAGCTTCCTTCCACCACCACCTTCCTTACAAAGATATATCAACAAGTAAGTACCTAGAAGCACTGGGAGAGTTTTGTTTCAGAGAATCTTAGTACTAGAAAGGGATCTTGGCTGCCTCCTAGTTCAGTCTCCCATCCTATTCAAACTTATCTGACAATGGGAAGCTGTGTAATGTAGTGACTAAGATAAAGGTTTTACAGTCAGGGCAGAGTAGGGTTTTAGTTCTCGCTTTGTAATCGATTAGCTTTGTGGTGCGTGCTTAGTCACTTCAGTCGTGTCCGACTCTGACCCCATGGACCATGGCCCACCAGGCTCCTCTGTCCATGGGATTCTCCAGGCAAGAACACTGGTGTGGGTGGCCATTTCCTTCTCCAGTGATAAAGTATGAAGTGAGTGAAGTCGCTCAGTCGTGTCCGACTCTGCGACCCCATGGACTAGCCTACCAGGCTCCTCCGTCCATGGGATTTTCCAGGCAAGAGTACTGGAGTGGGTTGCTGTTTCCTTCTTCAAGCTTTGTGGTAGTGGGCATCTATAGCATTTGTATAATGGTCCTAACTCAAGGAATAATTAATTTGTAATAACATATATTGTAAAGGATTTAGCTCAGAGACTGGTATATAATAAAGAGGTACCAAAATTAGCTATTATCTATGGTTGTAATGCTGATGAAGGATAATTACATCTTTTAGCCAGTCAGCCACCCTCTAGTGGAATACTTAAAGCGATAATGGAGCATTCAGCTTCATAAGCAGCTGTTCTGTTTTTGTTGGTTAATTGTTTCTTGTGACTAGCTAAGGCCTGTGTCTCTGTAACCTACCCACTGATCTTTTTTTTATTTTTTCCACTGATCTTATATAGTACCTGCTATGCATAGGGGTTAAGGACTAGGGATACAAAGGTGAATAAAAGATGTACTGTCTCTGGAAGAACATACAGAAATAGAGGAAATGGGGAATAAATAGCTATTTATACTATTCTATACCTGCTATAGAATAATAAAATACGTGCTGTTAGATTATAGAGGAGAACAGGAACATATAGGAAGGTCATCCAAGAAATGATGTTCAAACTTATTATTAAGGGATGAGTCAACCATTCAGAGGGAGAAAACACTTGCGCATCAGCATTTCATAGAGCAAGTATGAGTAAAATGCAGAATAGCTGACTTTGCCTTTACCTCAGGAAGTAAGCTCTGATATGAGTGAATAGGTATGAGTGAAAGTAGGAGGCAGAAAACTCTTGCAGACATAATTAAAAGCATTATTTTTTTTTTCCAGTTTTATTGAGATGTAATTGATAATAGCATTGATAAGTTTAAAGTGTACAGTGTAATGATGATTTCATACATCAAGAAACGATTACCACAGTAAGTTTAATGAACATCCATCATCCCTTATAGATACAATTAGAGAAATAGAAAAAAAAAATTTTTCCTTTGTGATGTGTACTCTCTTAACTTTCATATATAACAAAAGCAGTGTTCATGGCATTTATCATATGGTACATTACTTTCCTAGTACTTATTTTATTATCTGGAAGTTTGTACCTTTTGATACCTTCCTATAATTCACCCTTCCCCCCAGCCGTCACTTCTGATAACCACAAATCTGATCTCTTTTTCTATGTTTGCTTATTTGTGCATGTTTGAAGGATAATTCACCTCTAACACTGTGTTTTTGTTACACAGCATAGTGATCTGATATTTCTATGCATTTCAAAGTGATCATCATGATAAGTCTAGTTACCATCTGTCACCATACAAATCATTACATAATTATTGACTTTCCCCTAACTATACATTTCATACCCGTGATTCATTTATTCTGCAGCTGGAAGTTTGAGCCTCTTGATCTCCTTCACTTCCTTGTCTCCCCACACCTTTCTCCCCTCTGGCAGCTGCCTGTTTGTTTTATGAATCTATGAATCTGTTTCTGTCTAGTTTTATTCATTTGTTTTGTCTTTTCAATTCCACTTATAACTGAAATCATACTTTATTTGTCTTCCTCTGTTTGACTTATTTCAGTTAACGTAACACCCTCTGGGCCCATCCATGTTGTCACAAATGGCAAGATTTCATTCTTTTTTTATGGCTCAGTACTACTTCATTGTGTATCTGTATACCACATCTTTATCCGTTCATCTATCAGTAGGTACTTAGGGTGCTTCCATATCTTGGCTATTGTAACTAATGTTGCAGCTTTCCAAATTAGTATTTTAACTTTCTTCAGATAAATACTCAGAAGTAGAATTGCCAAATTGTATTTTGTTCTGTTTTTCATTTTTAAGGAATCTCTATACTGTTTTCCACAGTGGCTGCACCAGTTTATATTCCCACCAACAGTGCACAAGGATTTCCTTTTTTATGTACATTTTATCTAAACTAAACCTCTGTTCCCTCACCATTTTTTTATATGGCACAGTTCTTAAGCCTGAGTAATTCTGGAGAAAGCATCATTTTCACAAAGCAAAGAATTCTGGGTGGTGGAAATAAAGTTATGTTTTGTGTATTAAGATGTATCCTTTGTGTGTGTGTGGCGGCGGGGGGTTCATTGTAGAAGTACTTTTGAGTAAAAAAATAAATCCAAAGTCCCATTACTGATTTTTTTCAAGTGAAATGTATGTATATATACTTTAATGAAGTAACACTTTCTCAGAAGGGGACATGTATCTGAATTGCTAGGTGATTCAGATAATTGCTTGGGACATTGGGCTTTGAACTTAGTAAGAAAAGTCTTTGATTTATGTTCAGTATATTAACTCTATTGGATCCTTTGAAACACTGTTCATTTTGATTACATGTAGGCAAATTTCTCAGCTGAGAGAGATTCTGTTTCATAAAGAGAAGGAGATGACATCATTGATTTTGAAACCACCTCTGAAAAGCCATTCATTGGTCAGGCTGTGACCAAACAGTCAGCATCTGTTTGACATTTGGATTAGATCTTACACAGTCTTGACTTTTGGCACGGGAGTTTCAAGTCCAGTGTATATCCCTTTCTGGTAGAACGCCATTGTCTCTGGTCTTCCCAGGAAATTTTAGTAACTGAAGTGACAGAAGTCAAATAATAAAGTATGGCTTGAACCAAAAGATAATATGTGAATAATCTGTTTACAGCAGTAAGCTCACACTGGTAGAGTAGTGATCAGTTACCTCCTTAATCCTGCTCTTGTATTTTACAAACTGAAAATTTGAGAAGCTGATCTTAAACAGACTTTGAAACATAAAATATTTGTTGTGATTTTTTTTTTTAAGTGTTGCTTAGTTGTAACTCTTTCTTGCTTACCTACTAAACCATTATTGAAAAATAATTCACATGTGGGGAATACACTTTAAAAAGTAGTATTCTTTGGCATATATTTATGAAACTGTTCAAATCTCATTACTCAAAGTGTTCCAATCAAGAAGTAATAGGAATAAACTTTTGATGGTTTAGCTCTGACAGTTTCTATCCAAAATATTGCTAGAAAAGCCAAACAAAGTAGAACCAACATCTGTGGAACACTTTGCAGAACAGTGAGGCAGTTAGGACTTGAAGGGCCAAGATCCTATGAAGAAGGAAACTGTAAAAAGATGAATCAACTTCTGTCAGTTTTCCCTAAGAGTATTTACTGATTGTTGGTACAAGGTGAGACACTGAGAATCTGAGCAGAAGGCCTTAGCTAAAGGCAAAGAAGACTGCAAAGTTTCTAACAGTCTCCTAGAGCCCAAAAGACAACATTTGTTCTGTCTGCTTGCTACTCAGTATTTTAGGAGCCAAGAATTTAGGAGAAAAGGAAGCTACAAAGAAGGGAGCCAGATATAATCTGAGTTTCCCCCTCAAGACATATGCTGAATTCCTAAATTTCGAAGACACAATGTTAAAAAAGCTAAGCAGAGAGCCTCTGAAAAACACAGCCAACTTCTCAGCAGTCTTAGGTTGTGGAAGCAGTAGGAGTTCGAAACCTCATCAAGGAGGATGGGTAGAAGTAAATACCCTAGATTCTTCATTGGCATGCTGGAGGAACACACCCTGTGAGTGAGAACTCAGGCAGAATGAGCCCTGTAAAACTCCAACCTTGAATCAGCTCAGCCCCTGCTTATATTAAGATGATTTTCCACACTTACCTGCCAGTGATAAGATAGAGTGAACTTTGGTTGGGGGAAGATAGTATATAGAATCTGTGTAATTATTCATGAACAGTGTCAAGCATACAATTTAAAATTATCAAGTATATCAAGAGATAGGGCATAGAGTGGGGGAAAAAGACACTAGAAACAGGCACCACCCTCAGGTAACCCAGTTATCAGACAGAGACTTGAAAATGATTATGATTAATGTGTTCAAGGTGGAGAATTATGTTAGGTATATGATTATATTAAAAATGAACCAAATAGAAATCTTAGAACTGAAAAATAGAATAATAGAAGTTTAAAAACTCAATAGGTGGGTTAGTAGCAGATTGGACTCAGCAGAAGAGAGAATCACTGAACTGCCATTTGAATACTTTATATTTTTAATGCTAGTGACCTAGAAATAAACCTTACAAAAGATGTACACATCCATTACAGAGAAAGAAAGAGAACCTTATTCATGGATTGGAAGACTCAGTATTATATAGACTCTTCAGTTTATAGTGTATCTACAAACTGAACTATTTCCTAAGAGAAGCTTTTGTTTCTTTGTGTATTTATTTCTTAATTTTTTGAACTTGATAAGCTGAATCTAAAATTTATATGGAAATTCAAAAGATTAAGAATAGCCAAGAAGAATAAGATGGAAGGGACTTGCCCTGTAGGCATCAAAATGTTTTTTAAAAAACTAGTAATTAAGATGGCTTGGAATTGTCAGAGAAGTATTCAGATGGATAGATGGAACATAATAAATAACCCAGAAAAAAGATCCACTATGCAGGCATATGTTGGAGACATTGCATTTTTTTTTTTTAAGAAGATGCAAAACTTTTACTGTAAAAGAAAAAAGACTAAATTGAGCTTATGCAAATTAAGAACTTCTGTTCATTAAACACACATTAAAAGGTGTGAAAAAACTAACCATAAACTGAAAGAATATACTCACCACCTACAGTATAATATCCAGAACATAGAAATAACTTTGGGGAATCATAAAAAGAAGCCCAATAGAAAAATAGATGAAACTCTTGGATAAGTATTTCACAAAAAATCCTAATGGCCAATAAATACATGGAAAGATTTTAATCCTGCTAATGGAGAGGGAAATATATAATAATTTAAGATTCATGAGATGCCATTACATGTCCATTAAATTTTCACTCCCGGTTGACCGTACCAAGAGTTAGGGAGGATGTGGAACAAAGGGAACTCTTAGACATTGCTGATGGAGGTTTACACAGCTACTCAAAATTAGTTTGGCATTACCTAGTAAAGTTGTAAGTGCCCATGCCCTGTGTCCTCGCAGTTCTACTCCTTGGTTCTACTTTACCCTAGAGCAGGGTTTCTCAACCTTAGTGCTACTGGCATTGTGGGTTGGGGGTTGGATAATTCTTCACTGTAGAAAGGCTGTCCTGTTCATTACAGGATATAATCCCTGCCCTTATCCACAAGATGCCAGTAGATGCCACATGACTCACAGTTGTGACAACTATAAATGTCTCTAGATGTTTCTAAATATTCACTAGGAGGCTAAAATAGCACCCCCAGTTGAAAACCACTGCCCAAGAGTAAACCTTGCACATGTATACTAGGAAACATAGCAAGAATGTTCATGACAACATAAATAATCAATCCATATGACTGTTAGCAGTATAGAAGCATGAATAAAGAAGTTGTAAATTCACTCAGTAGAATACCATACAATCATCAAAATGAATTTATAATTATATTCTTGAACAAGAATGTATCTTAAAAACATTGCTGAAATAAGTCTGAATAGAATACATTTTGATTTAATTCATATGAAGTTCAGAAATAGGAAAAATTAAACATACTGTTTAGAGAATTGTTAATGAGATATAGTATGTTTAAAGAAAGGAATGATCATCCACTAAGTCAGAGAAGTGGGTAACTCTAAATAGATGGGGATGCAGTCTGGAACTTCTAAGTTACTGTCAATCTTCTTTTTTTTTTTCCATTTATTTTTATTAGTTGGAGGCTAATTACATCATTGCAGTGGTTTTTGTCATACACTGAAATGAATTCGCCATGGAGTTACATGTATTCCCCATCCCGGTCCCCCCTCCCACCTCCCTCTCCACCCGATCCCTCTGGGTCTTCCCAGTGCACCAGGCCCAAGCACTTGTCTCATGCACCCAACGTGGGCTGGTGATCTGTTTCACCCTAGATAATATACATGTTTCGATGCTGTTCTCTTGAAACATCCCACCCTCGAATCTTCTTCTTAAGTTGGGTGATGGCTACCTTTATGGTTACTCTTTAAAGTTACATTTGTTTTATACATTTATCTATCTATGTATGATATATTCCACAGATCTAATAAGACATAATGGTAGCTAATTTTGGCATGGTTTTCAAGGTTATATCATGGAAGATCCTGATTTTTAGCTACAGATTTTGTCCTTTAGTAAGCAGTTGGGAGTCATTTTAGATGTTTGAACAAGAGTAGGGTATTAAATGCAGTGATCATCAGGTATAATATCTGAAGTATACTAGATAAATACATTAATTAGCTTTCTGACTGAAAAATCACTGGCTGCTCTAAAACATTCTAGAGACTTAACACTAGAAATTTCTTGCCCACATAATAGCCCACTGGGAGTCTTCCTTGCTGGCAGGCAACTTTCCTTCACTAGAGCTTCAGGCACCAGGCTCTTTCCAGTTTGTGGTGCCACCATCTGCCAGGGCTTCAGAGTCCTCTGTCAAGGAAGACAAGCAAAGAGGGACTAGTGGAAGATTGCATTCATTATGCACCTTGGCTTAGAAGTTAAATCTCTTCTGCTTATGGTCCGTTAGTAAAATCTAGTTGCAAGAGAGACTGGAAAATGTAGTTACTGCATAAGCAACTGATTCTCAGCAACAACTGTATTAGGTGTGGGGAGCATGAACTTCTATAGAAAATCCTCTTAATCATAGCAAATAAGGAAAACTAGAAGCCACACAGAAGGCTATTGCAGTAATCTAGCATGATGCAGAAGATGAGTGAGGGCTGCTGTCATTTATCTTGATCTTACCAATTAAATTGCTTATTAATTTTAATTCTGAACATACATACTGCTTGGAATGTAAAATTAACATTTTTATTGCTTTGTGGAAAAGCAAACAAAAGGGATAGGGAAGGAAGCAATTTTGCTCTTACCAGGGTTTTCAATAGGGAAGCAGTTTTATAAAGATATGTTTCAGTTGACCTTTAGGCATTTGAGCTAAAATAAACTAATATTCTTGCTATTTTTTTGGTATCCTTCCCATATTATTCTGAATTAGTAATTTGTCATTCTGAAATATTAATGTCCTATTGCTTTATAATAGGCCTGGAAGTAGATATAAACAATTCATTTCCCTTCCTTCAAAAACTAACATGAAAGGAATGGTATGATAAAGAATTAAAGTAAAACTTGTCTTGACAAAATGATGGTTATGAGATTGTATAAACGAAGTACTTATTCATACTACATGAGTGAGCCTTTGAAAATAATATGCTAAGTGAAAAAAGCCAGACACGTATTATATTATTCCATTTACATGAAATGTTCAGAGTAGGCAATCCATTGACAAAATAGATTAGTGGTTACTAGGGGCTGGAGGGAGGGGGAAATTGGAAAGGATCACTAATAGATACAGATTTCTTTTGAGGATGATGGCAGTGTTCTGAATTAGATAGTGATGATGGGGGGAAAGGCCCACTGAACTGTATACCTTTAGATGGTAAAATTTATGCTATAATCTCAGTTTTTAAATTGCATGATTTTAAAATCACTTTATGAGTGAGTTTGGGAGTTTTCTTGGACTAAAGATAAGAGATTAAATTTTGTGGTTCCCAATAGCAGCCCCCACACACCAGCCATGATCTCCAGCCCCCTCTTCAGTGCTGCGCAGAGGCTTTACATGCTTGCTCCCAGCCTCAGCCTGTCAGTTCATAGACACACATGAGAAATACTGGAGTAGTGAGAATCACTGTTTTCATAAGAACCTTTCTGAAATGTTATCTGTTGTCATCGACCGTACTTTGGGACAGAAGTAAACAAAATGGTGCTTAGGAAAGTTGAAAACAGCTAGTAAATTCTTCTGTCAGGAGAAGGGAAGTTATGAAGACAGTTAGCAGATCAAGATCATTGAGTAACCCTTCAGAACTTGATGAACTCATGAATTAATAGGACATCACATAGCTCTGTTAATTAAATGTAAGTTTCACATTTGGAGTCCTACAAAGAAAACTATGGAGCTAAGTTGAAAACAGATAAGAAGTGGCCAGACATTTCCTGTTTACCAAAAATTAAATCTGTAACTGCCTTAAATTTGTTTTCCATTTTTAGCCACAGTCAGACTTGTTGGGGCTTATTCAAGTCATGATTGTGGTGTTTGGAGATGAACCTCCTGTCTTCTCTCGTCCTACTGTTTCAGCATCCTATCCACCATACCAGGCAACAGGGCCACCAAATAGTAAGTAGAATTGAGATTTGATTTTTAAACTCGTATAAACAAAAGAAAACAGAAAATCTTATAAAATAACTTTTTTTAATGACTTCCCTTTGCTTTTTAGCTTATCAAGTTAGTGGATTTTTTGGAGGTATTCTGAGGCCCCACATCTGCATGTACAGATTCCCAACAAAGACTGGCATTTGGGCTTTCGTTTGTGGGTAGAAATCTTAACTATGGATGTGCTGGATTCCAAAATGGAGGAGAAAGAATGCTGGAATAGAGCTGGAATTTTTTTTTTTAATTATGCATGCCATGGAATAGCTTTATTGATCAATTTGGAGGCAGATACAACCTGAAAGGCAATCTGACCTCTCCTTTTCTTTGCAACTCCAGGATCAGCGTTGTAGATAATAATCAATTACAAAATCAACTATATCATTCATGTTCAGCTATTCTGGGTATACACAATGACCTAGCTCTCAGCTTTCTTCTCTTGAGTACAGCCAATTCATTTTACTTTGAGTCCAGGGGGTGGGGCATGGAGTCAGTATAAATTCTCCCCTAATTGGTGTACATTATCTCTATTATTTCTGGATTTTTTTTTTTTTAATAATTCTTACTGATACTTTAAAATCACCATAGATAATTGAGAGTTGGTTGTACTTTTTTTGACTTTACTAAACCTGTTTATTGTGTTTTGAGTTGTGGTTTGTTTTTTTTTTTAACAGATTTTGTTTGATATTATAATTAACCAAATTTATTTATCTTATAAGTTAGATTACATGAGCTTTCATTTTCCTTCTGCTGAAAATTATCCTCTTCCTCTTTTATTCATTCTATCTTGAGTAGCATCTTGACTCACAAGCTGAATGGAAATCTAACAGAATTTCCTGAATCCTTTTCCTTCCCTGCTTTCCCAGAAAAGGTTTGGATGTAGCATTTTGTAGCTCTTTTAATAAAGTAGATTCTAGGGATTCTTTTGGTCCAGAAATTTGTTTTCATCTTAATAAATTCTGTTGACTTTAATACACAAGATTAATCCTGCCCATCTTAGTTTGAAATGCCAAATATTTCCTAGCTCATCATTCATATTTATTTGCTCAAATAACACAGCCAGTGACCACTTACAATAAAGGTAAGCAAGTTAGTCTCCTAAGCAACATATTTTTCCTAAATTTCTTCTAGTTTTATATTAACATGGGAAGTGCAGCGTTCTCGAAAGAGATCTCACCAAACAGATTACTGTTACAATTCCATTTTGTACTCATTCATTGTAAATCACTAAACAGTCTAGAGCTAATATATGTAAATTAGTAAAAGAGACCAACTTACTGTCTACCCAATACTTTTTTTTCAATACTTTTTACACACTTAAACAATATTCTTTATTATTAGGTATGACTGCAAAGAAATGAAGGTTTGAATTCTGTCCTACACATAAACATCAAGGAATAGCCCACAAATTTGGATCCATACTTAAACAAATACGATCTTCTAGTTGAAAAATTATGTACTTTTATTATTAGCATCATTATCTTTAAATATTTTTGATCTTTGGTTTTAGGATGACTTTTGAGTTAGGTAGAAGTCACACCAAAAAAGTGTGCTATGGCCAAACCTCATTTTTTGACAGTAATAGTCAACACTTAATCAGTGGTAACTGTGAGACACAGACAAACACTTCATATTCTTATTTAATCCTTATGTCTGTTATGCTTATTTGTATTCCATTTTATTCTAGCTCTGAAATTATTTCACCTCATTATCTGCTTCCTTATCAGTCTTGGACTCAGATAACTTTTGTTGTTTCCCAAAATCAAAATTTAAAGAGTTTGGTCAAATTACTTGCTTTGCAGAACCTTAGAAAAGGAAAAGTACTTATAATTATGAGAAAATTGCTTATAATGGTGAAATGTCATTTATATGTGTGCGAGAGAAACTAACATGGGAAGAGAAACTAGTAAGTGACTGTACATGTTGCTGATACCTAATAGTGGCCGGCCTCATCTTTTGGTATTCATAAAGATCAACCGTGTTTTGACCCAGGAAGAAGAAATGTTTTATGAGACTTAGCAGTTGTGACATTTTGGAAAGTGTTTTCCCTTTCTGAAATAGCATTAAACATCATCCTTAGCTTCATTTTTCTTAAGAAAAAATTTACTTGTGATACCTATAGATATATCTTAACAGGAAGACTATGAACACTGATACTTGGGGATGTAAGCTCAGCAACTCTGATAAAGACTTTTAAGGTCTGTAGTCAGAGCCCAGCAAGCTTCTGCCATCTACTTGCATTATGTCCTCCAAAAATTTATTTCTCGAAGGTTCCACCTCTCTTCAAGCCTCTGTGTACTATTCATCTGTTCGATCACTCTTGTTTACCACCACATCCTGTGTTGAAATTAGCTACCTCCTGTACGATCCCATCAGAGAAGGCAATGGCACCCCACTTCAGTACTCTTGCCTGGAAAATCCCATGGATGGAGGAGCCTGGTGGATTGCAGTCCATGGGGTCACTAAGAGTTGGACATGACTGAGCTACTTCGCTTTCACTTTTCACTTTCATGCATTGGAGAGGGAAAGGGCAACCCATTCCAGTGTTCTTGCCTGTGAATCCCAGGGACGGGGGAACCTGGTGAGCTGCCATCTGTGGGGTCGCACAGAGTCAGACACGACTGAAGCGACTTAGCAGCAGCAACAGTACGATCCCATATAACACTCTGTATTCATCCTGTCATAACACTTGTCCCTCTGTATTGATACTCCTTTGTTTATCTCCTCGTAAGACTATAAGCAGCTTGAGGCTAGGAAGTCTTTTTTTTTTTTTTTCCAATCTGGTACCTTTCATAGGAAGGCACTAAAATATTTATTGATTGAATTAATAGCTAATTCATCATTATATTCAGTGAAAAAAATTTCACTGAGGATAATTTGATTCTCAGACAAGTCATTTCTAGTTAAGGCTGAAATTCTCTTTTTCTTCCTGTGTTGGTTAGCTTCTTGGCACCACTGACTAGCTTCTATATCATTAGTGTTCTCTTTAAAATATATATAAAACATTCTTTTAAGCATGCTAGCTTTGAACCCCTTAGTATTCCCCCTTAGTATTTCCAAGCTTTTGTTTGGTTTTAACTAATCTAGGTGAATATAAGTTCTGTGTAGGACTTCTTAATAGTAATCTGAAGTCCTTTAAAATCTTCACTGAAGCCAACAAAACCAATTGTGCTAATTGGTCAACGTAATCTTATAATAAATATCAAAAGATATCTTAGATATAATAAAGAGGTCACTTTGTAAGAAGCTGACCTTGACCCCTTCCTCCAAATTCCAAACTGAATTGACTCCTGTCTCAGATTGTAGATTCCTTTAGGCTTGAAGAGCTAACCAAGTTGACCTGTTGGCCAGTTATTCCTTGTTGGGATTGTCATGTGTGTTGTCATAAGTCATGTTTAATGCTTTTAGAATTAATGTGATTTGAAGATAACTTATTAGCTGTAGTAAAGAACTAATATGGATGGAGTGTTTTGTTGGCAAGATTTGAATTCTTTACCTGTATGAAATATTGCTGTGGTTTGATGGTGATGTAAGTCTTATTTAATAACCTGTATATCCAGGACTATGTGCATATTTTAAAATGTTAAAAATTATTTTTAGCTTCCTACATGCCAGGCATGCCAAGTGGGATTTCTGCATACCCATCTGGGTACCCTCCCAATCCCAGGTAATGAAAAAATATCTTTTGAATAATTGTTTTAGAAATTCTGTTAGATCTAGAATGAAATAATGGGTGCTAACTAGGGCATTAAAGTAAATTTGGTTGTAATTTAATGGAAGGTAAAGCTCAGTATATTGGTGAAATTTTATCATATGTACATAGTTGAACAGGAGTTTTTTCCATTCTAAGGAAATGCAGCTCTGTTCTATTTACAGAGAGGAAAGGGGTGGGAAATGACGATGATCTTGATTAGTTTTAGACCTTGAAATCCTTGCTTCTTTCCTTTTGAGAACTCTGTATATCCATTGTAAATAGGTGAAAGATTAATGGAATACTAATTATGATTTCAGTCATGGAGAAAAATATTTTAATATTTTAAAAAACTTTTAAAAAACTGACCTTTTCTGTAAACTATAGGGAATGAATTAATAGTTCATATGATGGGGTCACTCTTGTCCACATGATATTTACTTATTCAGTTCATGGACTATTATTTATTCAGTTTTTTGCCAACCTTTATTATCCATGTGATAATATTATAGAAGTAAATTAATAATAAAATCATTGTGTGAATAATACATGTGAGAAAAATCAGTAAGAAATAATTATTAACCCATGTTTTAAATGTGTGCCTGTTTTAGTGGTAATCTAGGAGTAGTTTCCACTCTTTGGGGTTAACTTAGAATCCAAGGTGGTCTTGGGACTGGCTTAGAATGCAAGACAGGCCTATACTTGGTGCCCAGATGAAATATACAGCTACTCGAAATTAATAAGAATTAACAAAATTTTAACCCTCAATTCTCAGCTTCAAAAAACCCTCACAAATATATGCAGCTAAATTTCCTCAACACCTGCCATAAGTAAACATATGTATGTACATATATAATATGCTGACTCTTATAAGTTAAATTTAGCAAGGATATTTATTTGGGGGCCTTTCTTAGTTTCAGGGACTAGCTTAATAAGGTAGTAAATATTCTTTTACATTTAGATGAGTAAGCAGAGACTAGATGAACATCCATCAGAGACAAGAGAGACAGATTCCTATGGTGGCTATATGCAATAACAGGTTATCAGTTTTAGATTTCTTAAGGCTGTTAATTTTCTGATTAAGTTACAGAAATGGAATTCTGTCTGAAGCCTTGAAATTATAAGCCTTTATAGTCAACAGTTGCTAGTAAACTAGAATGAACTTCAGGTACATAGGGAATGATTATTAGAAGCACAATAAGGAAATGGACTTCTGAACAATAAAGCCACTTCAAAAAAGACTCGTAGATAAAAATGAAGGCTGAAAATATTGACAGAAATGTGAATCATATTCATTTAATCTTACATAACCTTTAAAGTGTCTTTTGTAAGGTTATTTGTAAGAAGTTGCTTTTTGAGGCATCTATTTTTCAGAGATTTAATGGGGTTGTGTGTGTGATGTAACTTTTAATCTCATGACATGCTGATGAGTTGTTAAAGGTAACTATTCAAATTGCTGTCTGTATCTTTCGGCCTGTGAAAGGTCTTGGCAGAAGAGAACCTCTTTCCCTTCTTCCTTTATCCTAAAGGATAGTTAATAAGTCAGTGACTCAAGAATCTGTATTTTTAAAACAATGAATATGAGATTATTTATTCTTTTTATAGAAAGTTGGACTAGATAACCTCTAAGGTCTCTTTCAAATTTTAAGATCTTTTGAAAGTTTTATTTAGCACCTGCAGCATGTATACAAGGAAATTAAAAAGTATGTCAAGAATAGTGTGAGTATGGGTATATATCCTAGCAAGCATGTATTATTAGAAAGAGTTTCTGATAGCAGAAAAGACAGAAAGTGGTAAATGCTGTGATAAAGTGAGCTTTAAAGGAGAGGCCACATCTGACTTGGAGGTGGGTGATCAGAGGCAGCTTCGTAAATGAGGGAACTGATTTATGAGGATGACCTTAAGAAGAAAAGAAGGCATTTAGAGGTGGAGGGAGTGGCAAACAGTAATAACATTTTACAGCTGAGAGGAAACTTATTAGTCATCAAGTTCTACAACTCATTTTATGTAGTCACAGGTATGATATGGAAACCAGAAAAAAAAAAAAAAAGAAATCCCAGCAAAGATTAAGGAAACACCCTAATATGGCAGGAAAATACAGGATTATGAGTAGGAGAATTGAAAAGAATAAAGGTGCAACTTTCATGGAATATGAGTACTACATGCTAGGAAATTAGAATGGAAAAGTTCTCACAAAATATCTGTTGCTTTCAGTTCTGATATTGTTGGATTGCCTTTAGAAAAACTCAGGTTGCTTTCTGCTACTGTGAGGGTGGCCCTCAAATAACCAGGGCCAAGGGGCTTCCCTGGCAGTTCAGTGGTTAAGACTCTGTGCTTCCACTGTAAGGGGCATAGTTGATTGGGGAGCTAAGATCCCGCATGCTGTGGGCCAAGAAAAAGCAAACAGAAACCACGGCCAAGCAAGAGTGTTTCATTAAATAAAGTGTCATTAATGGAATTTCTTTAGAACTTCACTTAAATAGGCAACTGTAGCTCTAAAACTGGAAAGTCATGAACTCGTAAAACAATGGAATATCCAGCTTAGCTTCCTGGGCTTCTTAAAGACACTGTAAAGTTTGGCCATCGCAGTATTTAATGCTTTCTGTCCTTGTCTTTAGTGGTTACACAGGCTGTCCCTACCCACCTGGTGGGCAGTATCCTGCAACAACAAGTTCCCAGTACCCTTCCCAGCCTCCTGTGACCACTGTTGGTGAGTACCCTTCAAAACTGTGTTTCTACTCAGAAGGAAATTCAGTCTCCTGTTGTGAAAAGTGCATTTCACTTTTCTTTTTATTGATAAGTTTGACATGTAACGTTGTGTAAGTTTAAGGAGTGCAGTGTGTTGTTTTGATAGATTTATGTATTACAATGTGATTGCATTATAGCAGCACTAATTACATAATTACTGTGCACTGTTATACTCCGTATCCATTATACAGTGTGTTAGAGCGCTGTGGTTTACTGCTGCTGCTGTTGCTGGTTAGCCACTCAGTCGTGTCTGACTCTTTTGTGACCCCTTGGACTGAAGCCCACCAGGCTCCTCTGTCCACGGGCTTTCCCAGACAAGAATACTGGAGTGGGTTGCCATTTCCCTGGGGCATCTTCCCAACCCAGGGATTGAATCCACATCTCCTGCATTGTCAGGCAGATTCTTTACCACTGAGCCACCAGGGAAACCCCTATGGTTTATTACTTGTTACAGATTTGTACCCTTAAATGCCATCAATTTTATCACCCTCCTCCCATTTCACTTTTACATATGAATTGTTAGAGTACTCTTTCTTTTTAGAGCTAAAACTCTTAATGGTCAGTGCCCTATATTCTAAATCTTAGAAGTGATTTATCATCATATAAATGAGCCTTCTACCAGAGCATGCAAATAAATTTGATTGATTCTTAATCACTTTTTCCTGCATTTTTATTGGTGAACCTTGTATGTGTTGAACTATTAACAGATTCTTAGGTTTTCCAGCCTGGTTATATGTAAAGATAGATTTGCATTTTTAATCAAAACCACAATGAGGTACCATTACACGCCAGTCAGGATGGCTGCTATCCAAAAGTCTACAAGCAATAAATGCTGGAGAGGGTGTGGAGAAAAGGGAACCCTCTTACACTGTTGGTGGGAATGCAAATTAGTACAGCCACTATGGAAAACAGTGTGGAGATTTCTTAAAAAGCTGGAAATAGAACTGCCATATGACCCAGCAATCCCACTTCTGGGCATACACACCGAGGAAACCAGATCTGAAAGAGACACGTGCACCCCAATGTTCATCGCAGCACTGTTTATAATAGCCAGGACATGGAAGCAACCTAGATGCCCATCAGCAGACGAATGGATGAGGAAGCTGTGGTACATATACACCATGGAATATTACTCAGCCATTAAAAAGAATTCATTTGAATCAGTTCTAATGAGATGGATGAAACTGGAGCCCATTATACAGAGCGAAGTAAGCCAGAAAGATAAAGACCATTACAGTATACTAACACATATATATGGAATTTAGAAAGATGGTAATGATAACCCTATATGCAAAACAGAAAAAGAGACTCAGATGTATAGAACAGACTTGTGGACTCTGGGAGAAGGCGAGGGTGGGATGTTTCAAGAGAACAGCATCGAAACATGTATATTATCTAGGGTGAAACAGATCACCAGCCCAGGTTGGGTGCATGAGACAAGTGCTCGGGCCTGGTGCACTGGGAAGACCCAGAGGGATTGGGTGGAGAGGGAGGTGGGAGGGGGGACCGGGATGGGGAATACATGTAACTCCATGGCTAATTCATTTCAATGTATGACAAAAACCACTGCAATGATGTAAAGTAATTAGCCTCCAACTAATAAATGGAAAAAATTTTAAAAAAAGATTTGCATTTTTAGGAGAAGAAAGCACCATTGGGAAATATGAGTGGGTCAGGTAAGACCTGTTATTTCTGACCAGTAGTTCTTGGTTTTTTATGTTGCTTATTAGTAGAGTTACCTGAAATGTAATTTTCTTCAACTGAGAAAATGAAAGTGATACAGGAACTTCTGTAGACTCCCACCACCCTTCGTGACTATCTACCACCACCTGTACCACCGTATTTGCCTTTTCCCTGTTCTTAAAGAGAGTGGGTCTTTCCCATTCTATTGTTTTCCTCTCTTTCTTTGCATTGTTCATTTAAGAAGGTCTTTTTATCTCTCTTTGCTATTCTTGCGAACCCTGCATTTAGTTAAATGTTTTTCCCTTTCTCCCTTGCCTTTCACTTCTCTTCTTTCCTCAGCTATTTGTAAAGCCTTCTCAGATAGTCACTTTGCCTTCTTGCTTTTCTTTTTCTTTGGGATGATTTTGGTCACTGTCTCCTGTACAACAATGTTAGGAATCTCCGTCCGTAGTTTTTCAGACACTCTCTCTGCCAACTATCTTTGGCACAGTGGTTGGGACACAGACTTGGATTACTGTCCAACATTAAACCATTAATGTTGAATGGTTGCCTTGGAAACAAACCAAGATCATTTTGTTGTTTTTGAGATTGCACTTAAGTACTGCATTTTGGACTCTTTTGTTGATCATGAGGGCTACTCCATTTCTTCTAAGGGATTCTTTCCTACAGTAGTAGATATAATGGTCGTCTAAATTAAATTCGCCAATTCTCATCCATTTTAGTTCACTGATTCCTGTTAACTCTTGCCATCTCCGGCTTGACCACCTCCCATTTACCTTGATTCGTGGACCTAACATTCCAGGTTCCTACGCAGTATTATTCTTTACAGCTTTGGACTTTACTTTCACCACCAGACACATCCACAACTGAGCGTTGTTTCCGCTTTGGCTCATCTGCTTCATTCTTTCATGGAGCTAATAATTGCCCTCTTCTCTATCCCAGAAGCATATTGGACACCTTCCAACCTGGGGGGCTGATCTTCTGGTGTCATATATTTTTTGTCTTTTCATACCGTTCATGGGGTTCTCATGTCAAGACGCTTAAGTGGGCTGCCATGTCTTCCTCGAGTGGACCAGGTTTGTCAGAACTCTTTACTGTGACCCGTCTCTCTTAGGTGGCCCTGCACAGCACGGCTCATAGCATCAGTGAGTTATACAGGCCCCTTTGCCACAAGGCTGTGACCCTTGAAGCTATCACCTCCATGATGCCTACTTAATACTCTGATTTTGGCATCATCCTTGATTTTTCATCAGGAACCTGTTATTTTCAAAATATATCTAGAATCTGATCATATCCAGTGCTGATACGAGTCACCATTCTCTCTGATTTACTTCAAAAGCCTTCTTCTATCCTTAGCCCCTACATCTGTTTTTAGCATAACAGCTAGAATGATCCTATTAAAAGATAAATAAATTATATCACTTCTCTGCTCAAAACCTTCCAAGGTTTCCTGTTTCACTGAGAATTCATTCCACATTTCTGAGGCTTAGAAGGCCCTTTATGATCCTGCTTTCCTCCCCATTACTTCTGACCTCATCTCCTACTCATCTCCTACTCTTGTGTTTTAGGATTTGTCCACTGCCTGTTTCCTTTGCAAGGAGTAGTCAGGCCTACCCTGACCAATCTATTCTCACCACCACCCCATACATGTATACAAAATGTGGAACATCTAGCAAGTTCATACAGGTTTTTCTGTAAAATGGGAAAATCCAAACGACGTTTTTGGCCAACCCAGTAGATTCTTGTGAAGTTTACTTTTCTGTTACATTTTCTGATAGATTGTAACCATCCTGATATCTGTTGTAAATATACCTCCCTCCCAGCAAAAGTGTTTTCTTCAGTTGTTTTTGTCATTGATACATTCTAATTGAGATTCTAGTGGCATTGGTTTTGTTTTTTAAAAATATTCTCATCTGTCTGTCTCATCCTTCTGTAATACAGGTCCTTTTTTTTCCAGTGTAATTTTATCTATCTGTTTTTGACTATGCTGGGTCTTCATTGCTGTGTGCGGGCGTTGTCTGGTTGTGGTGAGCGGCGGCTGCTCTTCGTTGTGGCGCGCTGGCTTCTCACTGCGGTGGCTTCTTGTGGGGTACAGTCTTCAGCACACGGGCTTCAGAAGTTGCAGCTCACAGGCCCTAGAGCACAGGTGCAGTAGTTGTGACGCACTGGCTTAGTTGCTGTGCAGCATGTGGAATGTTCCTGGACCAGGGATCAAACCTGTATCCTGTGCATTGGCAGGCAGAGTCTTAACCCTTTAGCAGCAGGGAGGTCCTACAATGTAATTTAAATGCTTGGGTTAGAAACCTGATGATGGGAGATCTTTAATCCAATAAGCAAAACGTACTAATTCTTATTAAGTTCTCCGTTTTGGCTCAGGCATCATCAATAAATTAATAGTGCTGTTTGTTAACCCTATATTTCTCATTGAGATGATGGTATCTGATTTGTAGAGAACCTCAGTTTCCAAAGATCTTTTATGTTAATCTATTTCAATGCAATAGGTATGAAGCATTTTATAGCTTAGAATAAATGACATCCATATAATAAGAAATAGGGATATGGGGAAAATGGTATATTTTGAATCAAATCTAATGTTTGTTTTTAGAACAAGTTATCAAAGCAATATTTTATTGTATTTCTAAGAGTACTTTCTTAGAAAGTCTGGAAACAACTTAGCATTCTATGATTATCTATAATATCCTTCATGTTGCTTTTCTACCCTTTGTTGCTTGTCTACTTGATTTTTTTCATCATATTTTAGTAGTACATTGTGAAAAACACTCTTGAACTTCAAAATTGTCATAAAGGAAAGCAGAAACATTAAAGTATCATTTGAATATTAGAGTTCACAAGTAGTTAACATTTTCTCAGTCTGCCAGGGGTCATCAGGATTTGCAGTATTATTTTTGTACTATTGAGGCATGAGAAAGAATTGATGTGTTTCTTTATCCTTTGTGGAACTTGGTAGTGGAAAGATTTTGATCTTATGATGTAAAGCACAGACTTGTTTCAAGGCATTGTTCATTAACTCGTACCTTATCAGCGTGGGTGCCATGCAGTATTGAACAGTGTTGAAGTAAAAGAACCACTTAAAAGGAATTGATAGAGATCACTTTTTTTTTTTTAAGGAACCAACACTTTCATTTGCATTTATTTTTTGTGACATTATTCCCAGACTGTAAGTTTTGTTTCTCCGTTTCTTCTGGGATCTTTCTCTTCCGGGCAGCCTCCTCTTCTGGTTTAGGAGCAGTCTGTTCTTTCTCAGTTAGGAGCATCAGTGAGGCAGGGAGAGCTCGGAGACTGCCCGATCCCACTGTGAGCTCTGTAAGGCCTGCCCCGCGTTCTGGGGACTTTGTTCACCTGAATGTGCTCAGTGAGCAGAGAATCTAAGCCTTTAGATTCTCTTCAGGTGTATTCTAAATTTAGGTGTAAGATTCTCTCTTAGGTGTATCTTTAGATACACCTAAGCTCTTCAGTTCAGCTTTACTCTGCATTTTTGAGCATGTGCAGTAAAAATTCAGTATTCTGTCTGGGCCGTCAATCCTGCATCCAGCCCCAGTGTTTGGCCTGTGCA